ATTCTATTGTGTTCACTTCCTGATTCTGTTGTGTTCACTTCCTGATTCTGTTGTGTTCACTGCCTGATTCTATTGTGTTCACTGCCTGATTCCATTGTGTTCGCTGCCTGGTTCCATTGTGTTCACTGCCTGATTCTATTGTGTTCACTGCCTGATTCTATTGTGTTCACTGCCTGATTCTATTGTGTTTACTGCCTGATTCTATTGTGTTCACTGCCTGATTCTATTGTGTTTACTGCCTGATTCTATTGTGTTCACTGCCTGATTCTATTGTTTTCACTGCCTGATTCTATTGTGTTCACTGCCTGATTCTATTGTGTTCACTGCCTGATTCTATTGTGTTCACTTCCTGATTCTATTGTGTTCACTTCCTGATTCTATTGTGTTCACTGCCTGATTCTATTGTGTTTGTTTCCTGATTCTATTGTGTTCACTGCCTGATTCTAGTGTGTTCACTGCCTGATTCTATTGTGTTCACTGCCTGATTCTATTGTGTTCACTGCCTGATTCTATTGTGTTCACTTCCTGATTCTATCGTGTTCACTTCCTGATTCTATTGTGTTTGTTTCCTGATTCTGTTGTGTTCACTGCCTGATTCTATTGTGTTCACTGCCTGATTATATTGTGTTCACTGCCTGATTCTATCGTGTTCACTGCCTGATTCTGTTGCGTTCACTGCCTGATTCTGTTGCGTTCACTGCCTGATTCTATTGTGTTCACTGCCTGATTCTATTGTGTTTGTTTCCTGATTCTATTGTGTTCGCTGCCTGATTCTATTGTGTTCGCTGCCTGATTCTATTGTGTTCACTTCCTGATTCTATTGTGTTCACTTCCTGATTCTGTTGTGTTCACTGCCTGATTCTATTGTGTTCACTGCCTGATTCCATTGTGTTCGCTGCCTGGTTCCACTGTGTTCACTGCCTGATTCTATTGTGTTCACTGCCTGATTCTATTGTGTTCACTGCCTGATTCTATTGTGTTTACTGCCTGATTCTATTGTGTTTACTGCCTGATTCTATTGTGTTCACTGCCTGATTCTATTGTGTTTACTGCCTGATTCTATTGTGTTTACTGCCTGATTCTATTGTGTTTACTGCCTGATTCTATTGTGTTCACTGCCTGGTTCTATTGTGTTCACTGCCTGATTCTATTGTGTTCACAATGTCACAACATGTACTACTTACCATCTGTATGTTTATTGATGATTCTTCTAAAATGTAGCTGAAATTGAAAATATAGACATATAATAACAAACATAGGCACAAACTTTGTTTCGTTGAATAAAAGGTATACAAGTAAAAGTGACAAGATACTTACCTTATCACAAGGGGAAGCAGCATTCATTGTTTTCATGCACTCTCCCTTGGTTCCATGTGGACAGAACTCTTTAAGTAGTTTACCTACAGTGATAAAGCACAATTAATATTCATGCAAGTAAAAGCGAGTCTATACAGTACTGTAAACTCATTAATTATTCACTCAATTTTAATTTTGCCATTTTCACTGATAAATGAAATCCACATGTGAAATTAAGCGAG